GTCAGGATTTGCTCCTCACCTTCCATTTACCCTCTCAGATAAGAACCGGTCTCTGTAGAGAGAGGCCCACGGGCCCAGCTGCTCCAGCCAGAGCACAACTTCCTCTGCCGTCCACTTGGCCACAGCCTTGTGAACCAGGAGGTCGTGCTCGGCCTCCCTGCTGCTCCAGTGATACACAAGTAGCACCACCTGCGGAAAAGGACAGAGACCTTCAGACAGAGCAGTCAGATGGCAGTTCTGCATCTCAGGGGGCAGGGTAGGGAAGAGCACACATGTGAGAGGAATGACGCATGTCTGGACACGGGTGAGGCCAATGTCCCTGCCACAGGAGCCTGGAAACACAACTCTCCGTGGGCTCATGTCTCTGCTGACTGTCAGGCAGTGAGGGAACGGGCAGGACAAAACTGGCTACAGGGTGCAGGAAACGGTTGCACCTGTGGACCCTATCAACTTGTCAACACAACTGACTCACACACCTTTCCTGTTGGGAAATGTGTAACATTTAGCTTTCTGTGGCATGGAATATAAAAAGAAAATGGTTTCCAAGCTGGTGAGCTCAAGACTCTACCACCAAGACACACGGGCCTCCAGTTCACTTCCACCACCTTTCTGCACCTCCGTTTTCTCATGTGTGAAATGGGAATAATAATGGTGAATCCCTGGGTGGCGTGAGTGGTTGGATGCTTGACTACCAGCTGAAAGGTTGGCAGTTTGAACCCGCTCAGTCCCAGCGGTGCTTCAGGAGGCAGGCCCGGTGACCTGCCAGGTCACAGCCCTGAAGACTCCACAGAGCAGTTCTACTCCACACGGGAGTATCTACGAGTTGGGATTGACTCGATGGCAACCAACAAGAAACTGCACCAGCGAGAACACAATGCCTTATCTCCACATAACTTAAGAAGAAGATTAAATGAGATTAAAGCTAACATTACTGGCTCTGACAGCTGTTGGCTACTTGACTAAGCAGCGTCCGGGAAGCAATCACACAGCCCAGCAGATGCACCGTGTGCAGGGGCTCATCACAGGCAGTCAGCCATCGGCTGTTCAGGTGCCTCCCTACAGAGTCAACTCCAGTGGACAACACACGTGTGTGCACACATGTACACGTGGATGTGAGACAGAGAGGGAAACATGAACCCAAATGAACGTACTGCCACTGCAGTTAAAGCCGTGAGCACTCCGGAGAAGAACCCTCCTCCTCTCCGCTGATTCACTCTGCCTGCGTTGGCGGCCACAGGCATCTGATCGTTCCCGTATTTCTGAAAGACCGTGAGGCTCTGCACGACGTCATTATTCTGCTGAATGTCTTCCAATCGTATTCGAATGGCATCAGGAAATAACTTTTCAATCGCATCTCTGTGGAAAACGTAAGATCACAAGATGGTCCGTGAAGACACTCATCATGGGTAGAGGCTGAAGCAAAACTAACTGTCGAAGTTTCATGTATACAAGTACGTTTTAAGAATGGACAAGAAGATTTAGTATAGACTTGTTGGTGATAGCAAAGAATTAGGAACAACCTGTGTGGCCACTAGTAAGGAAACTGCTCAATAAAACAGAGCATTTTCAGACAGTGAAATGTTGTGCAAGTTAACAACGAATTCACCAGACCACTGTGCATCAAGACGGATAAATCTAAGATGTACACATTTTTCAATGAAAATAGTAAACTGCAGAAAAACATACTGATACTACACCAGTGACAAGAAAATACTTGTATTTTGTGCTGGCACACATATAAGAGCATTTTTAAATTTCTGAAAGAAACAACACTAAACTCGTAAACTCACTGCCATCAAGTCAATTTCAAATCATAGTGACCCTACTGGGTTTCCAAGGGTGTCAATCTTTATGCAAGCAGACTGCCCCATCATTCTTCCAGATGGTGGGTTCAAACCACTAACCTTTTGGTTAGCAGCCAAATACCTTCACCACTGCACCATCAGAGCTCCTTAGAAACTGCGCTAAGTCATAACTGAAGTCACTCTGGGGAAAAGGAAGGGAGGGCTCTACGAGGGAGGAGGGGCAGAGGAGCCTAGCTTTGTCAGTAGCGCTCCAGTTTGTTTCTAGAAGGTAAAACACATAGGTGTGCGTTGCTTGTGTCATCGCACATTCATTTTCAGAAAAGTGACGTCTGAGAGTGAGAGAACAACTCTCGGGCCATCTACCATAAGTAGGACCCTTTGCATTTTCAATTACGCAAAACCAGAGAATCTTGCAACTTGACATTTCCTTTCAGGTGAAGCAGTACTGACGGGGAAGAGTAAAGTATCTGTAAAAACATCTGCTGTGAAAAAGCCAATGGCGGTTAGTGCTTTCAGAGAACGTTCTGATTCTCTGTTAACATCAAGCTGAACATACTGCTAAGGAGCTCTGGTGGTGCGGTGCCTAAGGCATTTGACTGCTAACCAGAAGGCTGGCGGTCCAAACCCACCAGCCACTTCCACAGAAGGAAAACTGGGCAATCCACTTCCATAAAGATTAATGCCTCGGAAATCCAAAGGGGGTGGCTATGAGTCAAAATTGACTCAAGGGCAGTGAGTTTGGATTTCTTTTTTTTAAACACATTGCTAAGGCAACAGAAGCACAGACAAGGTTCTCAGGGTCAAAGGCCTCATGGGAACATGTGAGTGCACATGTGGGAGTAGAGGGGACCTGGCCGTCTGAGAGGCCTTGCCGTTTGCTGCTGGACACTGTGCACGAGAAACTATCACTTCTGAATGTGATTAGCCACAGGTTGAAAGGTCAGCATCAGCCCAGTTGTTCAGAATGGTACTATTTTCTCTCTTAGACACAGGATGTTAGCAGTGACTATAAATCAGTTAAATGTGTTATATGGAAGCCATCGTCTGATAACCAGAATTTCCTTCTTTCCTTCATTTGGGATACAAAATAAATAGGCCAATTACAGTCACCTGTGAGGGATTGTGGAGTTTCAGATCCTTGAGCTCCTTGACTCGCTGCAGAGACTCAGAGTGACCAAAGTGGTCAGCTCCATGCCCTGGGCCTTTTCAACACAGCTGCTCCCCTTAAGAAAAACATCATCGTACAAGCTGTGTGCTGACAAGCTATGTGTGCCGATAAACTGTGTGCCAACAAGCTGTGTGTGCCAACAAGCTGTATGTGCCAGACAAGCTGTACATGCTGATAGGCTGTGTGTATTGTACAAGCTGTACATGCCAACAAGCTGTGTGCTGACCAGCTGTACATGCTGACAGGCTGTATATGCTGTGTGCCGACAAATTGCGTGTGCCGTACAAGCTGTATGTGCTGACAGGCTGTATATGCTGTGTGCCGACAAATTGCGTGTGCCGTACAAGCTGTATGTGCTGACAGGCTGCATTTGCTGACAAGCTGCGTGTGCCGATGAGCTCTATGAGCCCTGGGACGGCTGAGCATTACCTGAGAAGAATATTGACTTTGGGGAAGCCTTCCCATTTTTCTCGGCATTCCGGACACTCTGTTTTCTTCGAGGACACCCACCATAAAGCTAGGCAGTGCCGGCAGAAGCTGTGCCCGCAGTTCAAGGTGGTAGGGTTAACCAGGATGTCGTAACAGCAGTGGCAAGAAAATTCACTGACAGAAATCTGAGGGCTGGTGCTTTGGAGGGGGTCATCCAGCTTATTAAGGCTTGTCGCATCTTGGTGATTGTCCTGCGGCCCCTCCATCTCTCAGCCAGTTCTGGGCTCCACAGACACAGAAAAGTTTAGACTCAGAAATCTGCTACAAAGCATCATTACGTCTAGGAAGAAAACAGACGTGATATTAGTTGGTATTTGAGATTACTGCCATTCTAATAAAGCGCTAATTTTTAGATGTGAAAAAAATTTTTTTTTTAATTTTTATTGTGATTTGGGTGAAAGTTTACAGAGCAAATTCACTTTCCATCCAACAGCTCACATACACTTTGTCTCATGACATTGACTGCAATTTCCCACAATGCAAAAGCTCCCCTCCCACTTCCTCCCCAAAGTTACCTCTTCCCTGTGTCCTTCCCTCCCATGCACTCCTGTCCCCTGAGCTGTCTTCCTGTGCATACACAGCCCTTCTATTTTCCCACGATTGTTCTCTCCAAGGAGTGTATCTACCTAATGTAAATGTTCAGCTTATATGCCTGTCTTATTTGGCTGGAAGCCACAGGAGTGGGTTCAGTTTTAGACCTAAAGGGCAGCTAGGGGCCAAAGTCTCAGTGGTTCTACTAGGCTCTATCAGACCAGCAAACCTGGTCCTTTTTTTTTTTTTTCCAATGATTTTTAATTTTGTTCCACATTGTTCTCCCTCTCTATCATCCTTGGAGTGGTTGACAGACAGTAGTAGCCAGGTACCATCTAGTTTTTCTAGTCTCATAGTCTTATAGGCTGAGGATCTAGATGTGAAAATTTTGACCTGTAAAAATCCGTATTATGTAAACCAGATAAATATCATTGAATTTTTTTCTGGCCTATTTGGCACACTTTTCAAAATTAAATGTAGCAAGATTGTCTAGCAATCAACAGTGGACCGTGGGGTGGGTAGAGAATTGTGGACCTTTCTCTCTTACTAACTTCCAGTAATACATCAGACAGTGTTCACTGCTATTTATAGGGTTTTGCAGCCAGGATGTTCCTTGGAAGTGAGAATGGCCAGACTTTGTCTCAACTACTTTGGTCACGGTGTCAGAAGGGACCATTCCCTGGAGAAGTATGTCACACTTGGTAAAGTAGAGGGTCAATAAAGAAGGGGAAGGCCCTCAACAAGACGGACTGACACAGTGGCTGCAATGATGGGCTCAGGCACAGCAAGGACTGTGAGGCTGGCACAGGACGGGGCAGTGTTTCATTCTGTTGCACATGTGGTTGCTGCGAGTTGGAACTGACTGGACCGCACCTAACAACAACAACAACAACAACTTCCTCTGGAAGTGTAGTTTCTTTGGACCTTGGTGTTCTCCATTAAATTTCTGAAGTCCTTTCCAGTTCTATGATTTTAAATCAACCAGCTTCTTGGCAACAGTGAAATGTCTGGAGTTAGCTGCCAATATGCTTTATGTAAATGACATATTTGTCTAAACAAAGCTGCTTCCCCACCAGGAAATTATTATGGTACAAACATTTAATTTCAGAAGCTGCCACCGAGTGGGTGTGAAGCAATAGTTAGAAGTGAGTGAGCTCAACAACAACAAATAACGTTTAGAAAAAATATAAAGGTATTTAGCATTTAAAATGGAAGAAAAACAAAAAAGGTCTTGTTTGCCCACATGCCCTGTGTCAGACCCCTCCTGCTCAGTATACTCCTTTCCCCCAAGTCAACCCAAACTTACACAGCATGCTCTCTGGATCCAGCCAGCTTGGTGTCACACACATGCTATGACATTTACATACAAAAGGGACGGAACTATTCTGGTTTGTGTCTTTGGAGATTTTTTTTTTTTTTTTTTTTTTAATTGAGAGGCAGTGTGATGGAGAAGGCCTTGCAATTAGAATCTCAACTCACCAGCTCACGAGCTCTGTGACCCTGCCTAAGTTATCTGGGTCTCTGAGCCATTTCCTCACTTGTGAAATGGTGATAACCCATTGCCATCTAGTCAGTTCTGACTCATAACAACCCTGTATGACCCTATATGACAGAGTAGAACTACCCCACAAAATATGGGGTGATTTTCACAGAAAATCAGTGAAAACAAGGAAAACCCTCAATGTGAAGAATTGGCCCAATAGCCTTAACAGTGAACTCAAAATCATGGAGATGGGTCAGGACCAGGCAACATTTCTTTCTGTCGTACCTAGGTTACCATGAGCCGGAGTCAACATGACATCAAATAATCCCATAGGGTTTCCAACACCATGCTCTTTTAAGAACTATCTTTATGGGATCGACAACTGCAACTTGAAAGATTACATAGGAACTTTAAGGGGCAGTGAGTTTATGTTGAGGGAATAGTTCAGAAAAGGAGAGTGAGGATGGTTGTAGAACTTGAAGCCTGTAATCAGTGTACGTGGAGAAACTGTTGAACAGATATGTTTTGCTGTTGTGTATTCGCAACAACAACAAAATAAATATGATTTAAAGAAAAAAATGTAAAGGGCACAATTCTTAAGGCAGACATTTTTTACTAGTTAAGCTAAACTGTTGTTTGGTTTTAAGGAGACTTCAGAGGTACTTTTGGTTTAAGGTTTAAAGATTATCTCAGGGCAGTAGCTTCAGGGTTTCATCCAGCCTCCATGGCTCTGTAAGTCTGAACTCCAAGAGAATTAGAAATTCTGTTTTGCATTTTCCCCCTTTTGATCAGGATTCTTCTATGGAATCTTTGATCAAAATGTTCAGTAAGAGTAGCAGGGCACCATCCAATTCTTGTGGTCTCATGGCAAATGAGGCACTGTTCGTTAGTCACACATTCCATATCCTCCTCCTATTCCCAACTCTCCTCCTTTCTCTATTGCTCCAGGAAAACAGAGACCAACTGTCATGTCTTCGAGGGCTACTTACAAGTGTTTATGACCCTCCACTACAAAACAAACTAGAAAGTAGAACCAAATAAAACAAAACAAAAACCACTGCTATGGAGTAGATTCCAACTCATAAAGAGCCTGTAAGACTGCCTCACAGTGTCTGGGCAATAAATCTTCACAGAAGCAGACTGCTACATCTTTCTCCTACAGAGCGGTTGGTGGGTTTGATTAACACCCACGCTCTTAACCACTATGCAACCAGGCCTCCTTAGGAGGTAGAATAGAAGCACTGAACATATTAATAGCCTGTTAATCGAGCTGTCCCGTGAAGCCATGGGTATGTTAAATTTTGGAAAACTGAGTTTGAGATGATAACAAAACTTCCAAGTACAAATGGTTAGTGAGGACACAAAACTGTAGTTGCAAGTAAGAATCAGCCTAAATGTTTGGATTTCAGGTTAAGTGCATACAAGTTGCAAATAATGTACACTGGATTCACTTCTCATAAATTGACCTTTTCAAAACTGGAATTACCAGAAGTTCTCACAAGAGAAAATGAATCACACTGATGTATTGTATGAATCATATTCTGCATGCATTGTATGAATCATATTCTGAAAGCTGAGATGCTCATTCACTCTGTGTTGCGATTGTCTTCAATGAATTGGAAAATTACACAGACTTTGATTACTGCTTAGGAATTCTGCTAGTTTCATTTGACTCGGAATGGAAAAGGGAAAGCTAACCGAGAAAGAATTCACATCCTCAGCCAGATGCAGCTGCTTTTTCTGATGCTTTCGTTCGTCTGTATTTGGATTATTTTCCTTGATTAAAGAAAACAGTACCTTTAGAGCAGGAGAAAGGCACCCTGGTGGTGCAATGGTTAAGCACTTGACTGCTAACTAAAAGGCTGGCAGTTGAACCCACCCAGTGAGTTTGGTTTGGTTTGGTTTGAGCAGCTCCATCGGAGAAAAACCCAGTGATCTGCTCCTATAAAGATTAAACCCAAATGTGGTGCAGTAAATTACCAGGTATGGCTTTTCTACTCATAAGTCTTTGTAAGCTCAGTGGTAGAATTTGCCATGAACAACTGGGGAGCTCCTGATTGTAAAAGTTATCCACCTGGGGTAATTTCTGTTGGGAGTGGCACAAAGCAATGTTCTGGGAAGTTCGCTCTCTCTCAGGTGCTTAGAATTCTGATGTTATGATTGGGTAGTTTGGCCACTCTGCCAGGCTCAAAAAGAGGCCTCCTAGAGGCAGAAGAGGTCTCTCTGACTGCTGGCTGAGAAGGATGTGCTGCTGAGAGAAATGCATTCCTGAAAAAAATGTGCTCCTGAGAGAAACATGCTCCTGAGAGACACACACTGCTGAGAGAGACACTGCTGGGAGACAGACTGTGACAGACTGCTGGCTGAGAGACTGTGGCTGAGAGAGACTGAGCGTTGTTCCTGAACTTGAATTGTAGCCTGTTGCTTCCCTAATAAACCCCATAATCTGTGAGTTCTGCATGGCCACTGCAGCGAATTATCGAACCCAGCAGAAAGGCGGTGGGTGCTGCGGGAGGAATGGTTGGTGTCAGGGTTGATGAAAGGGCTGGAGGGAGGCAGCATGTCTGGTGTTGCAGGAATAGGCCTTGAGCTATTGACAGTGATTCTGTCTTCCTCTTGTGGGGTTAGAGGAGGTCAGGAGATGTGGCCTCCCTGCCCCTTTGGCACCAAATCAAACCCACTGCCACTGGGTCAATTCCAACTCACAGAGCCCCTAGAGGACAGGGTAGGACTGCCCAGTGGGGTTTCCAAGGCCACAGTCTTTACAGGAACTGATTGTGATGTCTTTTCTCCCTCAGAACTGCTGGTGGGTTCCAACCATCAACCTTTTGGTTAGCAACCGATTGCTCAGCCACTGCGCCAGGGTTCTGTCCCAGAAGGATTCTAAAAATCAAACCCAACACACTACCACTGAGTCAATTCAGACTCATAGCAACCTTATAGGGCAGGGTGGAACTGCCTCCATGGATTTCCAAGGCCATACATCTTTATTGAAGCAGATTGCCTCATCTACCTTCTGTGAAGCTGTTGAAACCATCAACATTTTGGTTAGCAGCTAAGTGCCTTAACCACTGTATCACCAGAGCTCTTCCTGTAAGGATTAGAGCCTAGAAAACCCTATGGGGCTGCTCTACCCTGTCCTATAGGGTCACTATGGGTCCAAATTGACTTGGTGGCACCTAATGACAACAG